ATTTTAACTGAACCCTTAAACTTTGGCAGCGCTACAAAGGTTTCCCTACCATGTGCTTATGATTCCACCTGTCTGCTTCCACTGTGTCATCATCACTAAAACGCTACGGGACGGTGAGGCGCTGCAGACCGCCGTGTTCTCCGTTTAATCATTTCAACCTGTTGGTAGTTTTCTATAGCTCTCATTTTTGTGGTAGGTTGAATGACAGTCTGCTGCGTTACATTCAAGACTCCACTTTGATGTGTGTTTTCTATATTCGCCACTGTGAGGGTGTCGGAGGCATTATGATATCACACCAGCCACCCCACCCACCAGACCAACTGGAAGCGATTACCCACGGTCCCACTGCATCCCTCTCATGGGAACAGCGCTGACTACACCTGAGTCACAGGCAGCTCGGCTTTAATGTCGAGCCAAACAGTGAGCTCTACCCCCTTATTGTGTGTCTGAGTCGGAAATGGTTCAGATGAGTGTTTTCAACTAGTCTTCAGCTCATTTAAAGTCTTACATGTTTACTGGAATTACTAGAATTTACTCCAAAGCCGGTGGTGACTAACTTAAAACAATTCAAAGATTAAAAAAACATAAATTACAGAGATTTTTTATAATTTCATAACATTTACTGTTACTCACTGTAGTATACTGGAGTGTAGGGACGATGCAGAGGGTTTCTTTGGTGTTCACGTCACTGTTATCTTTAATTCCTATCACAGATTTCTCGTGGTTTTGTATATCTTGGACCCGCTGCTATCTTTCTATCTTTCTTCTACCTCTATTTTTTTGTGTGTTTAAAAAGCGCTGTTCCCCACATGTGATACTGAGGTATGATTCTGCAAGCTGGTTGTTGATGTGATTGGTTTGAACAGTTGGTGTGTTTGATTCGGAGATGTTTTTGGTTTTCTATGTGTGTATAAGAAGAAGAAGCGGTGTGTTTGAGACACAGAAAGGGTTTGTGTTCTTCAACAGGCCCGACAACGATCGGGCGGAAGGTGCCATGGTTACACATCAGGTGGGATCGGTGAGGACAGCAGCTGTTTTGCAACTGCTGCCTGAAACACTCCTTTTTTCTATCGTATCTCATCGTATCCCCTTTTGCTCATCCATCCTCTGTGAGTTTTGTTTGGCAAAAGTACATGAAAGAAAGAAAGAATGAATAAAAGAAAGGAAGGAAGGAAGGCAGGAAAGAAAAACTGTTTTAAGTGAGCATTTATTCACAGAGAAGGAAATCAAGAAAGGCACAAGAAGAAAGGAAGGAAGGAAGGAAGGAAGAAAGGAATGAAGGAAGAAAGAAAAAACAGAAGAAAGAAAGAGAAATGAAGGAAGGAAGGAAGGAAGGAATGAAGGAAGAAAAAAAAGAAAAATAAATGAAGGAAGGAAGGAAGGAAGGAATGAAGGAAGAAAGAAAAACAGAAGAAAGAAAAATAAAGGAAGGAAGGAAGAAAAAACGAAAGAAAGAAATGAAGGAAGGAAGGAAGGAAGGAAGGAAAAAGAAAACAGTTTTAAGCAAACATTTATTCACATAGAAAGTAATCAAGAAAGACACAAAGAAGAAAGAAAGAAAGAAAGTCAGAAAGGAAGGAAGACAGAAAGAACAAAAGAAAAAAGGAAGACAGGAAGGAAGGAAGAAAGAACAAACAAAGAACAAAAGAAAGAAAGAAAGAAAAAGAATTGTAGTTATTGCAAAGTAATGTAGAACTACCAGACAGTGCTGTGAATAGCTGCTCCCCCTGGTGGTTGTGAGGACTCATTACCATCTCACTGATGACAGACTATACTGTATAGTACAAGAGAAAAAACTCTGAATTCATTAACATGACAACATTATAGCCTTATAGCTTTATACAGTATATATTTTAGTGATTTTGTAGAGCTTATCCTGCAGCTCTGGAGTCTAACTACATCACACCCTCAAACCCTGAATATTGTCAGTCAGCCTGAAAAGTAAACAGTGAAACTCCGGTCACAAGACTGACACGGTGTAGTAACACAGTGTTAGTAGTTACGTATGACAGGGTGCAGGGCTCAGCTGGAGGTGGGCTGGCACAACCAGCTCTGTACTGGTGGAACAGCCTTCTGTCTGTCTGTGTGTGTGTGCATGGGTTTATCTCGGTGTGTGGGTGTTTGCTTCTTTGTGTGTGTGTGTGTATACAGTTGTAGAAGTAAATCCAGTCTGTCCAGTTCTTTCCATCGGCTACTGCCTGCTTATCTACTAACCGGCAGAATCACAGCAGTACTTTCGCAGGCAGTTGGTCGCTTGTATTGTAGAGTAACCGATGATCATTTTTATTCCTGTATATGCGAGCCATGAAGGCTTTGTGTGGATTGTTTCACCTGGTTGACAGCATGAGGTTTACAAACATGGAGTGACAGCAGTCCTTTCTTACGTTAGGAACCTCTGACCCTGACATGAGCTGCTGTCAGACAGACTACTACTGCGGTTTCACATTAGAGCTTTTTCTACTAATACAAGACATGTTTTCTCCTGTCCACAATTAAAAAAAAAAAAAAAAACAGTATGCCATGTTTGCACAGTTCACACAGAGCCAGACAGAAATTGGGAAGCCTGACAATAACACTGTCTTGTAATATCCATTTAATGCTGTGAATCTTCAGGTAAACAGCATGCGTGCTTGATTTTCCAGTTTGTAAGCACAGTTTTCTCACAGTACACATTTGTATTGGACTGACGCTGGTGAACTGTCGCGGGAGTTAATTCTATTGGTCCAAAGTGTATTATTCAATGGTTGTAATGACAAACGGATGTTTTTAGAAGTTTTCCAATAAAGGTGAAAGAGTTGTACAACCAAAACTAATAACTAGAAACGAAACACCTTCACTGTATGCGTACATATACTTCTTATCGATAACCACCTCGTCTCCCATTTCTCTTTCTTTCAGTCTCACATATCACATTGCAAGTTTCGGTGCCTTTACTATTGGGAGCACCCGAGTGTAGTCCCAGCGTTAGAGGACGAATATATGTGTGTGTGTGTGTGTGTGTGTGTGTCTGGCTCAGGTTCAGCACTCATATTATCATAGTGTGATTCATATGCAGTCAGAGCGGCATGCTGCAGCCTGTCTGTCTCTGCTCCACAGATCTTCACATTGATGATCTAACTTCCATTTCACATGCTGGAGGAATATGAGTGTGCTTGTGTAGTTTGGTTAGTGTTGATTTTGTGTCGCACACAGATTCCTGCTTTGTGTCTTCCTGTAATTCTTATAAAATTAGGATGTTTTGTTTGTGTTAGTGACGCCAAATGTTACTGAGTTTTGTGTTTATGACCAAGCTTCTTTTCTTTAATCAAGAAGTTAAATTAGGCTACAGCCTGTCTGCCCATGATGTCCTGAGACTGTCTTTTACCTTTTACTTGTAAAATACATCTAGTATGTAGCAGTAATGTTGGTATTTCAGTAGTTCGCTGATGTTTTTTGGCAGTTTTTGACGCAGTACTGCCACCACCTGACTGAAATGCAGTGTGAGCAGTTACCAGGTTTGCTAACCTCAGTTTATCTCGAGCAGCTGCCAAGTTCAGGTGGTGACTATGGTCAGGTTGTGGTTTATATTAAATACCTACAGATAACATAAGATGCATTGTCTCACCACGCCACCAGTTTGCAGTCTGAGTAAAACTTTTTTATTTCTGGGGTTTGTTCCAAAAACTACAAAAGCTGTATAGCTTTGTTTAAGGGTCTGATAATGGCCACTTTTATGATGCTTATAAATTGTTGGCTATTTAATCATTCTTGCTGTTTTTATGTGCACAATGGGGCTTCCAGTGTCTGCTGTTGTCAGGCTAACCTGACATATAGATGTAATCATTTAAATATGATAAAAATGTGTGCTAAATTCAGTTTTTAAGATTGTTTCTTAGCATTTCTTCTGTTAGGATTTTTTTTTGAGATTGCAAATAAAAAAACAAACAAACTGTGGTTTTAGTGTGGACTTTTACTTAGAGGTACACGAATGCCCTAAGACCTCATCAGTCTTAGACTTGAGGAAGGCCTGCCATGATCTGCAGAGCCCAGAAAAAAACAGACTGATAGCAACTAGATTTGTGATCTGACTTGCAGAAAAGCATCCTCAAATTTATTCACACCCTTCCATTAAAGAAAAGTCAAAGTTCACAATAGTCACTCAAATAACTAGAAACTGAGAAAAGTAAGAATAAATAAAAATTTGCTAAATTATAATGTAGTGAAATGAG